GCCCTCTCAGCTACATCAGCATGATGTCAGAGTCAATCCAAAAGCACAACAAATCAATCCTCTCTAGCTAAGCTAAAAGTAGCAGATAGGTTGAATACACCAATATAATTTAAAACTGGTACTAATATTTTGAAGATTACATTCAATTATCATAATAAAGGGACTTTAAAAATTCTTGGTGTGTCTAAAATCTCCTTTTCAGTTGTATAATTTTACAAAATTTGAAGAGGAAGATATAGTGAATAAAAGTATGAAGGGATAATTTTCGCTATTCTAAATGCCTGTGACCTAGAAACTCCCTTTTGAAAACATTTTTTTCCCTTCTCCAAGGTGGCAGAGCAAACTCCCAAAGAACAAAAGATCTGACTGTGATGCCCTAAACGTTGACTTATCAGTGGTGTCAGCCCAGAATATAGAGTCAGACAGGTAGAAACTTCTGTATTTAGATGTCAAGAATGCTGCCAAAATACAGTGGCTTTAGTGTCAGACAAACCTGAGTTCTGACTCCAGTTCTTAGGCCAACTAGCTGTGTGACCCAGAATGAGTTTCATAACCTTTTTGAGCTTAAGTTTAGCTGTTTGTGTAAAGCCAATATTTACATAGTCATGTACTATATAATGACATTTTGGTCAGTAACAGACCACATATGCAACAGTGATCCCATAAGATTATAATACCGTATTTTTACATACCTTTTCTTTGTTTACATATGTTTAGATACACAAATACTTACCATTGTGCTATAACTGCCTACACTGGTCCGTAGAGTAACATGCTGTACAGGTGTGTAGCCTAGGAGCACTAGGCCACACCATATAGCCTAGGTGTGTAGTAGGCTATACCTATGTGTAGTAGCTTTGTGTAAGTACACTCTATGATGTTCACACAAGGATGAAATCACCTGACAGCACTTTTCAGGACATATGCCCATCATTAAGAGACACATGACCATACTTAAAAGTGTTATATAAAAATATATAAAACCTCCTAAGATTGTGCCTGACACAAAAGAGGCATTTGATAAATCATCATTTTTTAATGCTATCATTATTAAATGAAGCCCTTATGGAGTTAAAAGACAAAGAATAAAAGATCAGTCATGGTTGACCTTTGGTGAATAGCTTTTCTTCAATCCAAAGATGTGATGAACTGATTATTCCAGGGAGGGCAATTCCTAAAAGGCAAAACCAAGAAGTAGGAACTGGACCTTCCACATAGCCTAGGAGTCTCCATTTTAACGTTTCATCAGGGCCCATTGCCTGAGTCTTGGCAGTACCTGGATCTTCCCCTGGTCTTTTCCCACCCCTGCCCCCATCGTAATTTTCCTGACTTCTGTTTAATAGCTTTCTGTTAATTTGCTTCCGGAGCCCATATTTATTTTGATAGGGATCCTAGAGAAATAATACATGATGATTGTTCTTAGAGGCAGATGTTTTGGTGTTAATAATGAGAGCTGATAAACTGAATGCTTACTCTGAGCCAGTAAGTAAGTATTCTTACTTGCCATGGCACATGCTGTATATATAATACCTCATGCAAGCCTCACAGCATCCTATCAGCAGGCCTTATCATGGTCTTCATCTTAGAAATAAAGAATCTGAGATTTAGAGAGGTAAAGTAACTTGGCAAAAGACAAACAACTGCTAGAAGAGGCAAAGCCAGAATTTACACCCAAGGCCTCCTGATTGCAGATCTGCCCGCCCCAGTACTGTGTTATGTTGCTGCTGCAGGCAGGTCAGGGAACACTCATAAATAGTCCCTACCTCCCTAAACTTGATCTTGTTCCCAGGACCTAACTGACTTCCTGCTTTCAATCAAGTTAGTTGGGAGCTAATTTAGCAGGGTATTGGGAAGTTCAGAAAGGGACATCCCGATGGCTGGTCTCCAGCCTACACATAGGCCAGGTACTGCTTCTGGAAAAACAGCTGTGCTCTGGGCTTCTGTTTGCAAAGAGAGTCTTATTTCTAGCACCTATCTAAGTAACAGAATCCCCAACTATTTATAATTGTAATATAATCATTTCACCTGGATGGGTGGATGGATGGGCAGGTGGTGAAGCAATTTATGAATATTCTATTTTATTATATAGTATGTATTAGTTAATCAGACCCCAGAGTCTAAATATAAAAGAAAAATCTGTGAATTTGCTTGTAATTTGCTCAAGTTAAAATTTTCCTGGTCCAGCAACTCTTCTAAAAATGAAGTAATGTAATAAATCTCCTCATAAAGTAGTGCCCCAGGAAATATTCACCTTTGTTTTGTCTTCAAACTGACTTGTGTCTTTAAGGCAGTATTTTCTTGGTAATAATCCAAATACTGCATCCTCATTGAGGTGTTTAGAGTGTAATTCTGTGCTTCCTTCCTGACATCAGGCAATAAGAGATACTAATAACTAATAATTACAATAATAATAGCAATTCAGTATCTTACACTTACTGAGTGCTTTCTATGCACCAGGCACTGCTGTAGTTGATGGAAATAAGGATATTCATGTGCTTATGCACATTACATGTGAGAGTGGGTACTCTAGTGATTCCTGCTTTACAGAGGAGAAAACAGGTACCAAGAAGTTAAGTGATTTGATTTGTTCAGAATCATAAAGTTAGTAAACGGTAAAGCTAGGATTAAATCCAGCCAGTCTGGCTTTTAATTTTATTTCCTTGTACGTTAAAACAACAAATCCATCTCTGTCTATCAACTAAATCATTTTTATATTCTGGCAATGAAGGTCAAAGCTAAAGTTTGTTTTGTATTTTAAGTGGTCCCACCAAGCTCTGTTGCAGAGTATGAGAGTGACTGCCCAATTAGGACAGTAGTTTGGAATTAAAGATGAGTGACATTGTATCAACAGGGGTATGCTCAGCTTTTCTCATCTTTTTCATAATTATATTACCTTGACAATATATCCCTCTTGGTAACAATGATAACATTTTTTCCCACAAAAATATTCTTAGTCTCAACTTTTTTGGTTTCTTTTATTCATCATAACTGTTAGAGAGGAAAAGAAAAACATAATACAAAGTGGCCTCCAAATTAAAGTATGTGGAAATCTTTTCACATCAAATTCAAACTTGATCCAGCAAATATATCATCTAATTTTTTTTAGGCACACACAAGGAGGCAATGATTTCTTTTTTTAGTGCAAAGTTGAAAGACATTTTTCATGTTCCTCCTGCCTTCTTTCAGCCAAAAACTTAAATTTATTGAGAATCCTAGTGTGAAAATTTTCATTCAAATTTCTAGCTATTATTCTCTTTGTTAGTTAAATCTTGAGTAAGGGAGTTTGATGGTGGCAGAGCTTACATTTTCAGAGGATTTGGGAGTTCTAGTTTCAAAATTTTAAGACTTTCACTGAAAGAGCTTTAAAGTGAGATCAATAAGATTGTTACCTTACTTTTCAAAAAGAACTGGGAACTTGCCCATTTCTTTGCATTTAATTTTCCATGTTTATATGGAAAATGATTCATGTACCATGTATTTGTTTTTTGTTTTTTGTTTTTTTTTTTTGAGACAGAGTCTCACTCTTTTCCCCGGGCTAGAGTGAGTGCCGTGGCGTCAGCCTAGCTCACAGCAACCTCAAACTCCTGGGCTCAGGTGATCCTTCTGCCTCAGCCTCCCGAGTAGCTGGGACTACAGGCATGCGCCACCATGCCCGGCTAATTTTTTTCTATATATTTTTAGTTGTCTGATTAATTTCTTTCTATTTTTAGTAGAGACGGGGTGTCGCTCTTGCTCAGGCTGGTCTCGAAGTCCTGAGCTCAAACAATCCGCCCGCCTTGGCCTCCCAGAGTGCTAGGATTACAGGCGTGAGCCACCGCGCCCGGCCTGTACCATGTATTTGATCTCTTAGAACTGTAGTAGATTTTTGAAGCCGAGAAAAAACAAGTAAATGACAACAAGACAACAAAGCTGTTCTGAAACAGTGAACTTCACCCAGTGTGCTGCCTGATTCCTAATTAAATTACCTTAAACAATTTATTCAGAATGCTTCAGTATGACTACCTGGAAAAATGCGGGTAGAACTTTGGTTCTGAGAGACATGTGAAAATTTCATTACTAGGTTTACAAAGTATCTTAAAATCTCCAGATAAAAATGACCAACATACTGGAGAAGAATATCATTATTAGCAGCGGTGGGGTTGTGTTGGGGGGTGGATGTTCAAAGTGGGGCTGCTGAGAATCAAAGGCCTGTGTCCCTTTCTCTACACTGGGCCCTCAGTCCCACCTTCTGCAACCAGCCTCAAGAGGAGATAGAGAAAGAATCACTTATTCACCTTCTGGCTGTAAGAACTGCAGGATGCAACTGTGGCAGTTCTAGCATTGAAGAGAAAATACACATAGGAAAAAAGAAGGCCATGTCTCACTTCCAAATTAAAAAAAGACATTTCTACATGTTTCCATAACCCACAGACTGCTGCCATTTGAGGCCAACCCCTCAAAGCTTTCCTCTTTGTCTAGTGTAATTGCTGAATCTAGGCCACTGTCAGCAATCCTTTTCATTCACCCAGGCCCATCCCCACGCCTCACAGATGCAGAGATTCTCCTGAGACATGTGTACTTTGGTATCAAACAATGCAACTCATGTTTGATTTTGGATAACCTTGCACTGTTGAATAAAATAACCCTTGAGAAAGAAGCAATAAAAGTGCTGTAAGAAAAATGACTCATGTTTCCAAGCTGTCTAAAGTGATCACTTATCCCAACAAATGGTAATTCTTTCAAGACACAGTGGGCATGCACCATACTTATAAAAGTCTGGAAGAAAAACCTTGCAAACATTTTTTTAGAAAATTTGTGTTAAAATATATCAAAAGAATGTTTCTGATAGACTGTACCGGGCCAGGGTATGCTTAAAAACAAAAACAAAAACCACATGAATGTAAAAGCCAAGGTGGATCGGCCCAAAGGCAGTCCTTGCTGAACATCCAGGCACATCGGCTCGTTTATATACTTGTTTATGTGCCTCTAATTGTTTTCCATTTTCTGCCCCCATTCGTTAGAGTGCAAAGATGTGAACAAAGTGGCTTATTGCCCACTGGTGCTGAAGTTCAAGTTCTGCAGTCGAGCATACTTCAGACAGATGTGTTGTAAGACCTGCCAAGGACACTGACCCATGGAAAGCCAGAGAGAAGGCCTTGTCATTTCATCGTGGAAATGCGTCCATCAAAGAGAGCCACCCAGAGGAAGAGGATTGATGTCCTTGCAAGTGCATTACCCTGTGGAAAACGTAACCACTGGTCAGCCCTAGCTGACAGGATTTCAATATTATTTTAACTTCTGTGAAGTGGGATTTATTGATCCAAAGTGCTGGACATGGTATTAGGAGGGAATGCCAGATTGGAGAGATCCAAACAACACAGGGAGACTTGCTTACTGTGGAACGTTTGTGTTCTTTCGAGTAAATCCAATAGCCTGTTTACCTCCTTGGACCATTAAGATAATTTTTATTACGGACTTAGCAATGACACTGAATCCATTTGTATTTAAAACTGTTTAAAATGTAGCTGTTATGACTTGGTCAACTATGGAAGTAAAGAAGATTCAGAATTCTTAAGTCATAGCTTAAAAATATTTGCTATACTTTATCTCACTACAGCAGCACCACAATTTAAATTATGAAACGGGCTTTGAACTGTAACTTAAGAAGCAATTATAAATCAAAAGTAATGAAAGTTTGCATTATTTTTCTTCATTCCACTTAATTTCCTTAGGAATAATCCCCCTGTTCTGAACACTGCTGTGAGCCATACATAAAACTATATTAAACTGAACAATAATGAGGGACTTAGTTTAAAGCAGTGCATCAGTTACTGCAGCTGTGCAAGTCTATAAACTCAGTGCTGAAAGACTGTGGCCAACCTGCCATTGTGCAAGTGAAGCTGAGATTTCCATTAAAACTTTAAGAGAAAAACATTTCAATTTCATGCAGAAGCCAGACCTGGGGTATGGTAGAGACTAAAGTATCAGGCACTTTGCTGCCATCACACAGGATGCCTTAGTTCTTATTTGAGTCACTCCAACTCGCTTGTGTTTACATCCTCACCAGCCACAGAGTGGCTTCTGCCCTGTTGGATTGTTGCATGCGTGTTGAGCTTATCGAGATGATACCATGCAAAAGATAGACTGGCTCGGTAACAACCAGGCAGACCCTTTTGCAATTTGCTGACAATTACGATGGGTTCCAGATGTCTCTTCTTTGATATGGTAGAAGAGCATTTATTTATATGAGAGCAAGTGTGTGTGTGTGTGTAGGGGTGTGTGTGTGTATGTGTATGTGTACACGCGCACGCATGCGTGCACGTGCGGGTGCTATTAAATGTGTGGATAGATGGGTGTGCTTGCACGTAAATGTGCTATTTCCGTGAGTTTTAAAGTAGGCAAGGGATAACAACCAAAGAAGAAAAACTCATGAAGACAAAAGATCATAATTTTAATAGTCACTCAGCCAAGTATTTTGTATTTTTTCATAGATACTCTGAATGGCAATTAAATGTGAAACCCAGTTTCTTGGGCAAGTCAAATTCTAGAATCATATCCACCTAAATTAAAATGAGTAGCTCGTATTTTCCCTATCCTCACGTTTCACATCCTGCTCATCAAAAGACTCGACAGCAAGATTTAAAATAAAAAGAAGTACTTGTTTATATTAATATTTTGTACTTGAACACTTGTAGCTTGCAGCAGGTTCTTGATGAATGTGCTTTGTGTCCGACATGCCTCCTTTGATATACATGCGTGCATACCATGCATACACCAACACCTAAAACTCAAAACTAAATGGCTACTTTGTAAAGTTAATACTTGCAGTTAAAGAGCATGTTTGACTTAATTCCATCACTGTGCTCTGAAACTACACATCAGTGTGTCATATATACCATGACCTACAGTGGATGATTAGTTTTTTTTCCAAAACGAAGAGATACTTTCAGACACCAAAGCTAACCTAAACTCCCAAGTTTGCTGTGGACAATCAGCATGGGATGTTTTCTGCACACTCTAAATGCCACAGCTCCCATCCTTGACCGTTCTAGAGAGAGCTATTGATGATACAAGAGATATTACCAGGGCCCCCATCTATGCTGCCCTTAGAAGAGCAGCCCAAGTGGCATCTCAGCCATTCTGTGAAGGGAAGGCAGCCCACGGGCAGCATGGATGGCCCCAGCACTGAATTCCCTTGGTCCTTTTCAAGAACAGTTAACTTGGTGCTAATGTGCCCTGGTGAAATAAAACAAATAAATAAAGGCTGGGCGGGTTTCTGTGGCATTTTAGGCATAGGTTTACAATCCGGATCTGATTTTCTCCAACATAAATATCAGCTCATATTTTTCTTTCTAGAAGATTTCTTACATTACTGACTACAGGCCATTTTTTTTACCTCACCTTGAAACTACCATTGCGAGGGCCGTCCCCCTGGGCATGGTGCAGTGCCTCAGACGGTGCGAGAAGAGAAGGGCAGCCAGCATCGCCTCTGGGACGTGCACCAGCACTGAGGTCAGGATGTGGGCAGCTCCCTGGAGCAGAATTCGATTGCGTTTTTAGAAGGAACCAAGCACAGAATGTAACAGGATTAAACAGTTCAGGTAGGCCTTGCATTTAAACCTGAGTACGTTAAAAAAAAATATATATATGTCCCACAGCGCATTACAGTACCGCTGCTACTCTGTAGCCACCCAGATGGCTACCTGATGTCCCATTCCTAAATGATAGTAGGATTGTCAGTGGGAGGCTGGGCCACGGTGGCAGGCCCTCCAAAAGTAGTGAGCTTTATAGACTACTTAGGAAACCCCAGGGAAACTCGTACCCCGTGGCTGGGAGCAGTATGTGCCATTGGTATAAAGTCCTACCAAAAAAGGAAAGGTAAATGTACCCAAATGATTAAACCCCTTGAGGGACACATGACTTCCAAGCAGTTTATTTCATTAGGAATTTTTTTATTTGAGTGAATGTCACCTAGGTATCCTTAATAATACAGAATGAAATTACCTTTGTATTATTGTGATTAGTTGTTGCTTATTATTTTATACTCAGTATTAATGTGGTACACTGTTTTTTTTTTTGCTTTTGTAAATTATATTCTAATTTATTGCCATGTTTCCTAACACTTGTCCTACATTCATTCTCCTGCTTGTAATGAAAATGAAAAAGTCATTGTAACACTTGATGGGGTGAAATTCCACACCAGGCACAGATTTTTTTTTTTTAATATAGATAATTTAGTAAAAATAAAAATTCAGCTTGTAAGAATGATTCAGATGGACGTTGTCTATTCCATGAAAAGCTTGTGTTAAACTTGCAGTAGAAGGAATCTTATCCCTTGGGATACCACACCTACATCATCCAAATTATCCAAGTATTATCCAGGATTGAGATGATTTGCTATATCCTTATTATTCTCCTCAGAGATTATATCTATTTGCGCATATTTTAGTCCTATCTAAATGCAAGGGCTAAGGTATTTCTGGTGGGGCCACATACCCAGACACCACCAACCAGCTATTCTGAGCCTTGAAAGGAAGTCCAGATTGGCCACTGCCACACACTTTCAATCCCTGGTGCATAAATTTTTGCCCTTTTTTTTTTTTTTTTGCCTTCCCTGTAACTCTTTAGTATAGTGGAATATGCAAGATATTTCACTGTGGCAAGACTGCTGAACAATGAATTCATCCTTGAAGGATTTTGCTACTCATAGTCAATGAGGAGCATAAAAATGTGATGGTCACACTTCTCCACCTCAGACATTTCCCCTTAGGCTGGAGATGAACTAATGGCTCAATCTTGGCTGAGCTGAGGGCAACTATAATATGCAAAGGTAACTCAGAAAGTGTTTTAATATGAAAGTGGCCCTCCTGCATGCTTAGCTGTTTGAGTACTTTCATGACAGCTTCACCAATAACATAAGAAGATGTGGAATGTCCAAGCATGGTGGTCCTTTATTCTGCCCACTCCCATGCCCCATACACTCAGTCTTATTCATTAGAAGAAATTAGGGTGAGCCAAGTGAGATGATTAGTCTTGGGAGAATATTTCTCCAGGGTCAACCCAAGAGCCCAAAGTGGCTGAAATATTGTGAATACTCAGTAAATGAGAAAACTGTGGGTACCAACCATTGTAACCTCCCACTGCATTTATAAATGGGGCTTGGGGAGGCAGGAATACCAAGAAACAAGACTTACTTTAGCTTAGATTCCTCAGATTCAAATTTATATTTTCATCCACAATTATTTTCAGGCTTCCAGTTAAATGCTTTTTTCCCCTTTGAAATCTCTACGGGACACTGTACCGCTGAGGATACTGACTCCAAGGACAATCTGCCTCCCATGGAGATTCTGCCACCCCCAAGGGAGCACTAGGATCGTCCACACGCCTTGATGCTCCAAAAGGCCAGTTGCTTTTCAAAGCAAATCAGGGAAAACTTTAGGTATTGATCTTGGAAACAAAGATGTGTGAATTTGCATGGCTGAAATAAGATCGTTACTTTTTTTTTTTTTTTTTTTTACAGAGTCTCACTGTGTTGCCCGGGCTAGAGTGCCGTGGTGTCATCCTAGCTCACAGCAACCTCAAACTCCTGGGCTCAAGCGATCCTCCTGCCTCAGCCTCCCGAGTAGCTGGGACTACAGGCATGCGCCACCATGCCCGGCTAATTTTTTCTATGTATTTTTAGTTGTCCGATTAATTTCTTTCCATTTTTAGTAGAGACGGGGTCTCGCTCTTGCTCAGGCTGGTCTCGAACTCCTGAGCTCAAACAATCCGCCCGCCTCGGCCTCCCAGAGTGCTAGGATTACAGGCGTGAGCCACCGCGCCCGGCCAGATTCGTTACTTTTTAAAGAAGGAAAAAGAAATGTTCAGGTCGGAAAAAAAAGCCATGGCCCAGGAGTGTTGAAAAATTCTGAGTGGTCACAGGAAAGAGAAAAGATTAGTCACTAAGTAAAAAGTGACAGATAAGCTGTGTTTGGAATTCTGTCTTATTCGTATCAGAATGTGTGGAATAAACTAACACGCTTTTGTAAAAGAACAGCTGTTCACAATGGTTTTTGTGCCTGACTTCAAAACCTCAAGCTTGAACTTAAAAGGAAAATGGTCTTTTCTTCTGTCTCTTTCTCAGAGGGTTAC